TTCCCATCGTGGGAATCGAGATAACTGAATACAATTGTCGAAGTGTGCCTGGCTTTCCTCAAGACTTTGTGTCCAAACCTTGGGTTTTTACAAGAAACCACCAGACACTATGTAAAAGGGTTGAGCAGTTGAAGTTTGAATGCATTCATCAACAAGCTCAGAAATTTGAGCTGCATGAATATTTAGGTTGTCAGACATGTCTTCAATGTTTACAAGGGTGTCTCTAAGCTGCTGACTGTTTTGATTTGTGCTTGAACCGTGGAACCTCTAAAGGATGATGCAGAAAACTGAGTTTTTGCAGGGCAATTGAACGGTTGAAGGTTAACCTGAAGCTTCCTTCGCTACAAAAACAGTGCTCGTTTCACAACAGTGCTCGTTGAAGCATAAAGCGCTACAAACACTCAAAACATGCACATGGATCCCTCTCATATCCAACCCATGTTAGGGTGGTTCCCCCACTTTTTAAATTGCGCTCGTTTTGCGGCAATTTGCGCGCATTTTGCGGGCTTCCACCTTTGGCCCAAGAAGACTTCGGTGTTCGACATCTTGAAAACATGTTTGCTTCATCAAAAACATTGAACAGTGCTCGTTTCATCCAAAAACGCCACAAAACTCCAAAAGTGCTCATGCCCTTGGCTCGCCAGAAAAACAGTGCTACGATTGAAGGTTCAGGAACAGACATCACCATTTGTTGAAGTTGGGCCCAATGGACATTACGCCTTATTATTATACTGTGGGATGCGTAGTTTTTACTGGTCATGCTTGCCGAATCAAACAAGGCAAGTACTTGGTTTTTGATATCAAAATACGGGAGTATTCCGGATTTCGTTTTCGGACAAACCAGACAGAGGTTTAACATTGTGTTTCTTGGGGATCAAACTGTGAGAGTACTGGCTCAAAATACGTGAGTAATGTGGATCGTTCTGAGAAGCCTTAGGTCTACTTTTTGTGAGTTTGTGTTTCGCGGGCATTGGTGGATTTCGCAGGGGGATTGGTTTCTGAGTGCGATGTGAACACTACAAGACAAGCATAAAAATCGTCCACAAACAAGTGCGGCCATCTCAGTGCTGGCTTTCATACATGCATGCAGTCTGCAATCTACATAACAAGCATCATGCACGTACGCTGTAGCACCTACAGTTGCAGCGGACGAAAGAATGTTAGAATCTGTGCCACACACACACACATTGGATGTCGTACAAATTTTAGAGCTCATGAACTTCTAGACTGTATCATCCTGCAGCAGACAAAAACTGTCAAACTAATGCAGTTTCAATAGAAACACAGGGTGTTCGGATGAAACGACACTTTTTAAACTTATTTATGTAATATATAATGTGTTTTTTATGCTTAACTTCCTTGTTTTTTCCGCTGAATGGTGAGAGACAAGCTCCTCAAGCGGCAGATGCCCTTCCTTGCCTCATGCAATGATGGTAAACTGGAGGATTTGGAACAGATCACGAAAGCCTTGCAGCACCTTGCAGAGGTGGCTTGAACATGCTTGAATGGTGTGTGATGCTCCGCCGGATGTGTCCGGTGTCATAATAATGCTCGTTTTGCGTTTGGACGGAGGTTCGGCCGTGAGGCCGGCCGAAGATGGCCAAGTGACAGCAAGTAGGGTTTAGCCGATGGTCAGATGTCAGCCGTTCCAGTCACAGAGGAAACGCTGGCCGTTGCCCTCCGATGTCTCCTGGACCCTCAGGCCAAGACTCAACTTCTGATTCTAATAGTTTTCGTTGTTCCATCGGAGTGGCCCCGATCCTGTGCTGTGCTCCTGGGATGCGGATAGATGGTGCGGCCTTTGCTGGTCACTGTGGTTTTCTTTCTTCTTGCTTCAAGTTCACAACGCCAAAAGGCTTTGTCTCAGAGGTGGTGCCTTGACCTGCTTGCTGGTAGTTGCAATGGTGAACTCATGGTCGATTTTGTGGCCACAGTCACAGGCTCTCTTCCAGCATCTGACTGGTGGTCAAAGGCTCATGCTGGTGGGCTGAAACTGTGGTGTTGCTCTCGGGGTCTGGGCACAGGATGTATATAGATTATAAATGTCTCAGAGTCAGTCAAGAGACGGAATGTATATAGATGGAGTATATACTTCATTATGGAGTATACATTCCATCAGGCCTCAGGCAGCCACCAGCCAGCAAGCCAACAAGACGGATCAAAACGGAACACATCAATGTGGTGTCATTCCTGTCCGAGGAAACAGGAATTAACACCGAAGTCCGAGAGCCAGCAGCAAAAGGTATTCAAAAAAAGTCATCCGTTCATCAAATGGATTGAAAGGCGTATGATCTACAGCAAGTCAGTAGAACAGGCACAGTGAGAAAAGGATCCCGACCAGTCGGTTAGGCAACAAATGTGGAGATATGTGAACAACGTAGATGGCGTCAGGCCTCGGAGAAGCCCACCGTGGATCGCTTAGGATGCCATGCCGGTCACGTAACGAGTGTCGAGATGCCCTTGGAGATGAATCCGAATCATTAGTTTGGCCCACCCAAGATTCATCCAAATGACAGGGTATCTTTCACAGGACGGTTTCCCAATGGAGATTGGTCTTCTGGCCATCCTCAAGACCAAACTTCAGGAAGACAACAGGCCAGGATGGCTGAGATAGCTCTTGACTGACTCTGAGACATTTATAATCTATATACATCCTGTGCCCAGACCCCGAGAGCAACACCACAGTTTCAGCCCACCAGCATGAGCCTTTGACCACCAGTCAGATGCTGGAAGAGAGCCTGTGACTGTGGCCACAAAATCGACCATGAGTTCACCATTGCAACTACCAGCAAGCAGGTCAAGGCACCACCTCTGAGACAAAGCCTTTTGGCGTTGTGAACTTGAAGCAAGAAGAAAGAAAACCACAGTGACCAGCAAAGGCCGCACCATCTATCCGCATCCCAGGAGCACAGCACAGGATCGGGGCCACTCCGATGGAACAACGAAAACTATTAGAATCAGAAGTTGAGTCTTGGCCTGAGGGTCCAGGAGACATCGGAGGGCAACGGCCAGCGTTTCCTCTGTGACTGGAACGGCTGACATCTGACCATCGGCTAAACCCTACTTGCTCTCACTTGGCCATCTTCGGCCGGCCTCACGGCCGAACCTCCGTCCAAAGGCAGAACGAGCATTATGACACCGGACACATCCGGCGGAGCATCACACACCATTCAAGCATGTTCAAGCCACCTCTGCAAGGTGCTGCAAGGCTTTCGTGATCTGTTCCAAATCCTCCAGTTTACCATCATTGCATGAGGCAAGGAAGGGCATCTGCCGCTTGAGGAGCTTGTCTCTCACCATTCAGCGGAAAAAACAAGGAAGTTAAGCATAAAAAACACATTATATATTACATAAATAAGTTTAAAAAGTGTCGTTTCATCCGAACACCCTGTGTTTCTATTGAAACTGCATTAGTTTGACAGTTTTTGTCTGCTGCAGGATGATACAGTCTAGAAGTTCATGAGCTCTAAAATTTGTACGACATCCAATGTGTGTGTGTGGCACAGATTCTAACATTCTTTCGTCCGCTGCAACTGTAGGTGCTACAGCGTACGTGCATGATGCTTGTTATGTAGATTGCAGACTGCATGCATGTATGAAAGCCAGCACTGAGATGGCCGCACTTGTTTGTGGACGATTTTTATGCTTGTCTTGTAGTGTTCACATCGCACTCAGAAACCAATCCCCCTGCGAAATCCACCAATGCCCGCGAAACACAAACTCACAAAAAGTAGACCTAAGGCTTCTCAGAACGATCCACATTACTCACGTATTTTGAGCCAGTACTCTCACAGTTTGATCCCCAAGAAACACAATGTTAAACCTCTGTTTGGTTTGTCCGAAAACGAAATCCGGAATACTCCCGTATTTTGATATCAAAAACCAAGTACTTGCCTTGTTTGATTCGGCAAGCATGACCAGTAAAAACTACACATCCCACAGTATAATAATAAGGCGTAATGTCCATTGGGCCCAACTTCAACAAATGGTGATGTCTGTTCCTGGGCCGGGCCGGTGGCCGGGCCGGTGCCGGGCCAGTGGCCGGAACACAAACATTGTATATATTATGTATAGATGTGGACTGAGGAGGGTATTTGCTATTCCTGTATTTGTCCTTATTGTTTTTGCCTTTGTTTTTCTTTGCCTTTGCATCCCTTTGCTAGCCCCACCAAGGGGACGGGACTTTGTTCTGTGCCACTTGTACGCATATGTTTTGCAGCACGTTCGAGGAGGCACCTTGGGTCTTGCTTTCCTCGCTGCTGCTTCATTGACAGTCCTGAGACGCCCTTCTGGAAAGCAGCCTTTGAGATGGGGGGTCATTTTGCCCTGCAATGAGCGAAACTTCCAACCTCAGTTCCAACTTCTCATGTCCACAATTGTCTCAACGGTAGACTTCTTCACTGAAAGACGCTTATGGAAGTGCAAAGCCCTGTTCGGTTCATCAGAGAAAACTCCAATCGAGTGAGACGCAACAGTTCTCAATTCCAGCCCGAAAAACCCTGTTGAACCAAATGAAAAGAAAGGCGACGACTTCTCAACTGCTGGTCCGGGTTGTTGGTCACAACTTCACGATCCATTTGCAGTGGTTCTCTGAGCTCTACCAAGCATGTCATGTACCAAACACAGCCACGAGGCAAATCGCTCCATCCAGTCACGAAAACCTGACACCTCTTTGGCTCTTGAAGTCCAACCTTGAAATTTGCTGCTCTTCTAGTTTATTGCCCGTCGTGCTCATAGAAGTCCTCCTGCTCATGGCAATTCTGAATTCTCAGTCAAGCATTCACCACATCCGCTTTGCTGAAGGGTCGGAGGTAGGGGTACGCGCCGTACGGGTGATGGTGGCTGGTTCATAGTAGGCATTGGCGTCCTCAGCCTCTACCCAACCTGAAGGGCCAGGCTTTCGCGAACCGTGAGACCACCTTGAGCCTGGAGTTTGATGTCTTCAATTTTGCTAATTATTTTGGGGGAGGCCTCGCAATTGTTAAGCACAAGTAGACGCAGACGACTTTTTTTGTGACTGCCTTGTCATACCAAGGGTCCCAAGGCTGCGACGAAACTTGAAGGCTACTGAGACCATGTCCTGGCCCTCGACGCCAAATGCTTCGAACGATACGCAGCGCTTGCACTCCTCTCGGCATGTAGCGCCCGATGACTGCTACAGTACCTTCTGAGCCTCCTGCACAGTGGCCAATGAGGGTCTGACTTTGCCGTCCAGCTCCGGCAGACATAGTGCTACTGCTGGAGCCTATGGAAGAGCTGCTCAAGAGATTGGGCCATTGCGTCATGGTGGATGCTGAAGGGTTTGACGAGGATGGCCGGATGAAGTCCCGACAAGGCCACCAGGACGATCACTTGTTCCAGGCATATGCTGCATTGGGCTGAGAGGCTTACAAAGGTCTTGTTTTCTTTCTCGCTTTGGAGCGCGGCCTTCGCAGGCTCCTGATTGGAAGATACTGTTGGAAGGTCAAGCCTGGATGCCATAGCCAGTGTGGTCTTGAAAGGAGCAGCGGTGTGCCCTGTTCTTGTGCGATAGGGTATGCCCCACCGGTGCTTTCTTCCTGCCTTTTTTTTTTGCGTAGGCTTGAGTCTCAGAGCTGTTCAAGAACAAGGGGAGAGCACACTATATGCGTGCCGCATGCGTGTGTGTATACATACATATAATATATATATATAGATGTTTTCCCGTTATGTACCAATTTGGTTGTGCGGGTGTTTGTTCTTTTGTTTGCAGCACAGTTTATGTTGGCTCAACGTCAGTGTGAACGTGCAAAATTAGGTGTGAGTGTGAGGGTACTGTACTGATACCATGTGTAAGTGCACTGCTTGATGCAGCTATGAGGTATAGTATGACACATGCGACATGTTTTCACAATTTCCTTGCTTCACAACAACGCTCGTGCCAGGTCTACAGGTGCGGCTGCGATTTCTATGTCCGTAAATATCCGTAAATAGTTATAGAACATTTGCACATATATATATATATATGTATGATGTTCCGACTGTCCACCTAAAACTCCGGAAGACCGAACGTCTAGTCTAGTGCTGATGGCCTGTAGAATCCAGATTGGGAATAGACATAGCATACATAGCTTTGCATACTACGCATTCATCTTCCTATACAACATACACTGCAACAGCCATGCAGCTCAGAAACCTAGGTGGTGCGCTTCAGCCAGCCGGGGGACCTGGTGGAATCAGACGAGAACCTTTTGACAATTTTTTGACCTGGGCAGCGCCTTGCAAAGCCATTTTCGATGGGTGTGTATACTGCATGATTCATGCTGTTTGACCAGTTGTTGGGATTCATGGCACAGATTCATAGATCAGAACAGCTTGTGTCCCTCCGTTTGCAGGGCCTCTTAGTCTCTCACATTTGCAGGGCCGATCCCTGTGTCAACCCAGACCAAAAATGCGCTATGACGTGGGTTGAAAGGGTTCGCTATGACGTGTGGATGAAATGGCATGATTCCCGCTTGCACATGTCAATGACACCCGTCGTCACTCCATTTGACCAGTGAGAAGCATTTCATGCATCATGCAGCTCATGGCACTGTGCCGCAGACATGCATCTATAAGATTCTACATGTTGTTTCTAATTTCAGAATCCGGGTGCACAAATACTGTAGAGACCTTCTAACTTACAGATCCTTTACAAAGACCACTTAAGGAGTTGCAGCTACGCCCTCACGTGCAGGTGGGCATGGTGCTTGGTGCTGGGAACCGAGCGAGTTGAAGATTTGGTTGAACCTTGTGTCACTTCACGGCGGGGCCTTTGCGAGCATGCAATTTGGAGACGTTGGTGTAGCACACGCTGGACATGAATACATACATCCCTTAGGCAGCTACAACGACACCCTGTCCGATTTGCTGGAAAAGGTGCCTTTGCTGTTCCTTTCTGGATTAGAGATGGTTGGAGCATGTAAGAATATGTAAGAGCATTCACTTCGTGGTGGCTGACGTGGACAGTCTTCTCACGAATCCATACGAATCCGACTTGGACAGGGTTTGTGCACCAAGGACTGGAAGAAGATGAAAAACAAAGCGTTGTTGAAAATTGCTGGAGTCGCCTACCAAGTGGACTTTGAGCGGATGGTCCAGGCACTTAAAGTCTCGCAAGGCATGCAAAACCTTTGCAAAAACAAGCCTCATTTGCTTCCGTGCTTTTCCCATTGAGTTAACTATGTCAATCAATGTCTTCATTGACTTATTTTTGGCCATTGCTTCAGATCCTTGTCCTGGATGGTATGGGTACATGAAACTGATGCTACATGAAACTGATGCTTCAGGTGAATTGCGACACCAAATACCGCAGACTAGTTCGAAGGCGACCTTCATCAAGCTGAGTGCTCGATGAATCACATCGCCAAAGTCGCATGCGGCCAAAACGGTGGTTAGATTGTGTTTGAGTGCATGTTTTTTCGAGTTCCCTGGCCTCGTTTTCGCCTGAATTCCAGCTTCTCAAAGTTCGTGAACGATTGATCTTCGTTTCTTTCCAGCTACTTTGCCCGCGGGGGGGGGGGGGGGGGCGTCCAATAAATTTGCATAGTTTGTTGTGTGGTTGGTTCAAACAAGTGCCCTCGACACATATAAATAAAGAACAATCCAAATGACGGCCTCACGTGGATCAATCAATTGCAATATTTAGTTGGTATTGCACAACATACATATTATATACGCGTCTTGAATTGTATACATCACAAAGGGCACAATTCATAAGACAATTTGTTCGTGTTGGTTGTTGATACTGATTCGCAATGTAGTTGCTGGAATTGCCATGTCATGCCCACAGTGCCATTTGGGGGCACTTCGTCCAAGCCGGCATCAAGTGACGAGAAAATTGCTGCCCGTGCATTTTGCCCGGGGCTTGGTTTTGACCTCTTCTCTTATTTATATAATGTGTTGTCAACATCTGAATGTGTGGTGATCAATGATCCATCTAATTTGGCGCGACAACGGAAGTCATCGGTCAGAAACAAAGGTTCTTGAGTCTGACATGTTCATACCACAAATAGGCGCAAAGCAGTAGAAGGGCGCTGGGTGTGGAAAACTCGACTCCCGAGGTGGTGCCCTTCTTTGGCCTCCCAGTGTCGACCGCATTGAGCAGTTTGCTGATCAAGCTCCGGCGGTCATACCAGGGCCATTGGCCACGGCACTCCGGCGCCACCTGGTGGACAAGGTTTGTTCACAAGCGACAATGTTGATGGTGACCTATTTGTCATGTTGTTTCTTGATTAAAGAACCATGAACGCTACGTTGTGTCTATGGATACATTGTATCATGATGTATCATGTATCAATCACTTTATATAATTACAGTACAGTTTTTGCATGTCTTTGCCACATGTTTTCCGTGTTGTTGTTGAGGGTTATTATATGGATTTTGAAGGATTTGGTGACTTCTCAAATGCATCAATAAATTGTGCCAAACAGATGAATATATCCACTGGATACCATTGCTATGTATATATATATATATATGTATATATATTGTATGCTATGGGGGGTTTTCGTGGGATTGTGTGCTCCGCATTTTGTTTTCCAGTTTTAGGATTCAACTGGATCGACAAAACCAGCCATCCCCTTGTATCAGAGAAGAGGTGTGGGAAACCTCCAGGAGAGATTGACGTTGTTTTGAGTGTGCTCTCATAACTTGTGAACACTTGTGTTTTGATCGGCATGTTTTGGCAAACATTTCTATTGTTGGGGGCCCCTATCTTGATCGTTAAACAATCCATGTATAGTTCTTGCCGTTGTCGCTCTGAGGACGTCGGGCAGAGGTGCTGGCATTTCGATGCTTCTTGCTCCTGCTCCGTGCTAAAGAGGAGCACGAATTTGGTTTCCTGAAGCTACAGCAGCTGAAGTCCATACAGTAACAGTAGCTGATTCGGATTGATTTGGTGATGCCCCTAATTATTCTTCAACATTTGCCACTCAATTCCACATGATCTCTCAGCAGTGGGGGGCCTTCTCAGGACAGCTCCTTTCAAGATGCATACACAAGCGTGCTTCTGAGACTGCGTTCCTTTGGCTTTGTGGTGCGCGACAGTGCCCTCTTAAAGGTCACCTGGTTGCATTTGCGACTCTGTTGTGATCAAAACGCGACAGGTGAAACCAATTGGTCAAAGGGTGAACAGGACATGCTGAAGTATGGCCATGGCATGCAAATCAAGCGCAAGCAGGATAACACCAAGCTCTATTTGCCAGGTTGACCCTCCGTTTAATTGGTGCTGATGGACCGCACGCAAAAGGTGAGAGAACAGCAGGATCTCTTCCTTCCAACCAATTAGGTGAGGGAACTTCATATGATTTATGTATGGTGTTCATGCATGTGTGGGACCTGGAAAATGCAATTGCCGCGCATTGCATTCAGGACGAGGTCGCAAGCATTTCACGTTTGCTCGTGTTGGTGCAGCCGCCAGGGCCGCTTTCCCTTGTGCCTCGCAGAAATTCCGGACGATGCCTTTTTCCGGCGAGGCTTTTTCTCGCACCCACCGGTGACCCGCCTCCCAAGCAAAGAAGTGTAAGATGGGTCGCTGATGCTCACGGTGCGTCTCTTTTTTCAAAGAGGAGACACTCAAAGTGACCGAGAATGTCCTTTGAGTCACATGTTTCCCTGAGTTAATGTGGCGGCCTTAGGAGGCCATCGCTCTTAGGTTGGCGCGATAGGGCCTGCCACAATCTTCGCGGAGCGATTTGTGACATCCACTCGACGAGAAAGTTGAGAGAGGCTCACCTAACAGACTCAAGATTGATTGGTGTGTAACAAATTGCCCAGTGTTTGGACAGGTTCCTGCTGCTCAGATGTTACTGTTAGTTCCAAATAAACATCATAGTTTGCAATAATTATGGTTCCTTACGGGGCAGATGACATGCTTCCTTGGAGGTCTATATAGTGGTGAGATAGAAGATATCCAGTATGACATATGACAAAGAATAATGTTGCTTTATGTTGCTTTAAACAGTGCTTTAAACAACCCTCTTCTGGCGAAATGGTTTGAAAGACTGGACTGTAGAGCTTCGGTGATTGTTGTTTGGGGACGACCTGTCGCACTGAGGTACAGCTAGCGGCAGTGATCAAGGAGCTAGACACGATGCAGGTGGTGAGGGATGGGCTTGGACGTTTTTGGGAGCAAAGGAAAAGAGTCATCCAAAGCATTGGTTTGGATGCAAAGAGTGGATGAAGTTAACGAAATACTCGTACCCTCCCTTCAACTATCATGGAAGTGGACAACCCCCCTTTTGGTAGAGGAAAACAATCAGTCGTCCAAGGGGCCACTGTCCATTTCCATGATTGCTGGAGGGGGGAGTACTAGATGGCAATGGGAAGCTTGGATTCCTGAAATTCATGGGACGACCACCACCACGACGACCCGCTCATTCAGAGAGTGCGTTCCCACACCTAGCGGTGGATGATTGCACAAAGGGTTGGGTCGACCCAACACGGCACGGTGGATGATCACGGCACGGTTGTTTTGGATCCAGTTGAAGATGGACATCCGTGAAAGAGATTTGAACACAGGCGATCGCATGAATGCAAGAGCCCTTGGACTGAGTCACATGATGGGACATGCTATTCCCACTATGTGCTGCAATGTATGATAGGGATTTGTTGCATAAATTGATGTGCCTACAATACCTAGCATCACATTGATCAAGTTTGTTTTGAGGTGGACCAGGCATGAAACTGCCATCATCGGAAGACGCAGGTGGCCGTTCGCTTGCAGCCGCATTTGCCACTTCAACAGTTCCTGGATGACGAGGACACTCGACAATCATTCATGAGGGTTTCAAAAGAGAATAAGCGAAATGCATCAAGATATTTCTCAAGTTGATAAATCATCAGACAAGCCCTTGAATATGTTATACAGTGCAGGTCATGTTTTGCTGAACTTGTGACTTTTCTGCCAGGTAGGACTGAACGGAGTCTTGCATGAATTCACAGGTTGCATGTTGCCTGAATTCTCCTGGTGGAGCACAGGCGTTGTGGTTTGTCAATGACATAATATGTAGCTACAACCTGTTCAGGATACCCGGCAGTTGTGCATACGACACTGGTGTCAAAGTCACGTGGAATGCTGCCGCTTCTTCCCGCACTTCTTCCAATCACACACTCGCTTGGTGGTTCTTCCAGCAGTGTCAGCAGACGAGGCAAGAGGGTTATAGGACCAGGAAAACCCACTCCTGACGACAATGATACCCAGTAGCTCCAGCTGTTTAGTTGTGTACATCAATATCTACATGTAGTTTATGAACCAAGGACTGGCACATGTTTCTCCTGATAGAGGCCTCACAATCAAGATGCAAACTCTTATTATTCTAAGATAATGCAATGAGTTCCCTTATACAAAGGAATCTCCCGGAATCAATTCTATCTAAAGCCTGATACAGGGCATTGGTGCGTAGATAAAGTTCTTCGCTTTCAACAACTGGTGTTTGTGTCAACAGCTGGTTTCGCCATACCAAGCAAACATGAAGTAGAACATGGTTTATCAGCAGACCTATGTTTCATGCTGTTCCACTTCCATATTCTTTAAGTGACAAGAGTGGCGGCAGAGCGCATGCCCACAGCTCAATAAATGAAATGACTTGGAGATTGAAAGAGCGACAGCTTCGTTGTAGACAAAGCTGACAGTTTGCATGTTGGCTTAGCAAACACGATCCCCGGCCACCGATCCAGGTTGAGAAGCTTTGCAGCAATGTTTTGTTGCACGGTTTTGCTGTCTTGGCCATTGCAGCCCGGGCTGAATGGGATGCGGTGGGCGATGACGGGGACCGTAGAGGCAAGTGACCTTTGGGACTGGGACCTATGAGATGTCCTTTGGGACAGTAGGAGGTAAATTGACTTGCCAACTTGCTGAGGCGCTGAGTTTACAAAGTTTGCGTGGTCACTGCGCAGAAACGGGCATAGAAGTATAGATAGATGGCCCGGATGTAGTTTGCCTCTTTGGGCGGCCCACCGGTTTGGAGCTTGAGGGATGCATGACAAAGGCCTTCTCCCATGAATGACCACAGGTGTCATGGTGTCACGAGTCCTCCAGCCTTGATTTGTGCATAGCTTCGTTTTGTGTTCAGGGTTCCTTGATTTACTTTGATGTCCTTTGCTTGTGATGTCAAAAGGCCAAAGTATAGCAACGCATGTCCGAAGCATACTCTGAATGAACCGCACATAAGGCACGCGCACACATGCACACGCTGATGAACCACTAAATGTAGGGGCCTTCATGATCTGCGTGACCTTCTTTGCTCCAGGCCCATCCCGTCACGGACAAAGTGCTGAAGACGGATGCTGCGCTTTTGCTGCGGGGCATTGGACTGGTTCCGGCTGGGGTCTCAAGGGCAGCGGTGTTTTCCTAACCCTGGCTATCCCTTTTGGATTGGTCCCA